CTCCAGTTGCCCAAGGCAGGGAACACCTGGTGTTTTGGTCACTGTGCAGCCCTGGTCTAATTTGGGGTGCCTCAGTGCTGATGGGTATTGCGTTCTTGTAGGGGCTGTTCATCATTAAAAAACGGTGCATTACATAAAACTATGACCAGGTCCTTCCCGTTGCTGTGGCTTGTGTTCATCTGTGTGTGGTAAATCTTTTCCAACTCCCCCTTTGAGAGTCTTGCAGAATTAGGCAGGAACTTCCTGTTTACTTTCTCTTAAAATTTTTACATCAGTGTTAAGATGTAAAATAGGAAGTAAATAGGCCCTACAAAGTTAATTCTTAAATATTTAATGCTTTTTTTTTTTTTTACACTTTCCACAAATTCTCAAATGTGTTAGTTTTAAAATCACTTTGCTTTAATGGTCTCCACTTAAACATGTCACTTTTTAGAAGAAACTGAGAAAAAGGAGAAAGGCAGACTTTAAAAACAGGTGGTGTCCTGATTGGGTGCCCAGAGAAGGTGCTGTGGCCCCCTAGCTCAGTGCCACATGTCACATGCGGCACCAGGGGAGAGTACCTTAAGCCCTTCTAGGTCTGCACTTGAAGCTAAGCTGGTTCACTTGATGAACAGGTGCCAAGTCCAGGAAGCATTGGTACCAAGGAATGGAGTGCCCAGGGCTTGGCTTTCAGAAGGTGAGCCGCAGTGTGTGTGTGTGCCTGGAGGGGCTCCGGCAAGAGAACACAGCCCTGACCATGGGTCTCCATGTTGGAAGAGGTTTCAGAGCATGAAGGCCAATGGCTTGTTGTCCTGAGGTTGCTGAGCAGCTCTGGTGTCCATTGAGTGTACGTTCAGAGACTCCTGCCAGGTGCCCCTTTGTGTCCAGCTAGGCACAGCCCTGTCCGCTGCAGTCCTCTGCTCACCCTTCCTTCCTGTCAATGAGCTGTGGACAGGGACTTGACCGGCCTGGACACCTGGCTTCTCTGATTGTGGCCTTGGGCACAGGCCCTGTAGTGAACACCATGCTGTGTTCTGACCCACAGAGTGGCCTGGCCTGGCACATAATGTCATCTGTCCAGCACACCATCCTGGACAGTCTTGCTGTGTGCCCTTTATGTTTTCCCCTACAGTTTTTTGTTGGTGCATTATAATTGTGCATCATGTTGGGATTCATTGTTACAGATTTGTAATAGAAAACAGTGTGATTTGACAATAGCATTCCCCAGTGTGGCCCTGCTCCCCTCCTCCCTCCCCTGGTCCTCCCTTCTCTCTACTCTGCTGATCTCCTTTTCTTGGAAGAGCACCCCAGCTTCCTTCTCCTTTTTTGTCTGTCGCTTTCACATATGAAGGAAAACGTGACCCTTCACACACACACACTCCCCCCCCCACCCCCGCCTCTCTTGCCTGTCTCTTCCCCACCCCTTCCTGGGACTTGAATTCTGGGGTGCTTAACCACTGAGCCACATCCCCAGTTCCTTTTTATTTTTGAGATAGAGTCTCTCTGAGCTGCTTAAGGCCTAAGTTGCTCTAAGTTGCTGGCCTTGAACTTGTGATCCTTTTGCCTCAACCTCCCTAGTCAATGGGATTACAATCGTGCACCACCATGCCTGGCTGTCTCCTCACTTTCTTGTTTCCTGTGTTGTGCAGAAGCTTTTTTATTTGCTGCCATCCTGTTTATTAACTCTTGGCATTTTCCTGAGCTTTATTGAGAAAGTCATTGCCTGTGCCTAAAAGCTGGAGTGTCGACCCTACATTTTCTTCTGGTCTAATTCTGAGGTCTTTGATCCATTTTGAGTAGACTTTTCTGCAGGGTGAGAGGTAAGGGTCCAATTTCATTCTTCTTCATGTGGATGACTAGTTTTCCTAGCACCATTTGTTTAAAAGGTTGTCTTTTCTCCAATGTGTTTTTGACACCTTTATTGAGAATCAGATGTCCGTGTAGGTTTTTCTCTGTGTCTTCTGCCTATCCATGATTATGGGAGATTGTTCCATCTTCTGAGGTCTTCAGTTTCTTTCTTAGGTGTTCTATAGTTTTCATTGTACAGGTGTTTCCCATACTTGTATTTATCCCTATGTATGTTCTTTTTGTTGGTTTGTGTTTTTTGAGGCTGTCACAAATAGGATTATTTTTCTGATTTCTTTCACAGCAGATTTGCATGCTTTAAAGAAAGTAATGGTTTGCCGGGTGTGGTGCCACAGGCCTCTAATCCCATCTACTTGGGAGGCTGAGCAAGAGAATTGCAAGTTTTAGGCCAGCCTCAAAATAAAAAATTAAGAGTGGGAATATAGCTCAGTGGTAAAGTACCCCTGGATTCAGTTCCTGGTCAACTGCCACCACCACCCACCCACCCCCCACTTAGAAAGAATGGCTTTCTGGAGATGTAATTTACATTGTACTGTTGAATGGCAGGATGTTCACAGGCGTGTCCAACCCCTCCTATTGGTTTTAGAACTCTTATCAGAATGAAACTCCCTCCTTTCCACTGGGGATTAAACCCAGGGTTGCTCTACCATGGAGCTATACCTCCAATCCAAAAATAACTGCCTGCAGACTACTGACAGAAAGGTACTTCCTCAGCCCAGTGAAGGACATTTTAAGAAATGCCCACAACTGCTGGGTGCAGTGACCACTCCTAGAATCCCAGCAACTTGGGAAGTGGAGGCAGGATAAAAAAGTACAAAGAGCTAGGGATACAGCTCAGTGGTAGTGTGCTTGTCTAGCTGGTGGGCCCCCTGGGTTCCGTCTCCATTATCACCCCTGCCCCCAAGATGCTGACAGCTGCCTGAGTGCATACTCCCTACTGTAAATTACAAGATGTGTGGTTGTGGTCATCTCTTTCTTTCCTTAAATAACCGTTATCACATCCATATTACTCTGAATTTGAGAAAATTAGGAAGCCCAAGGAGGAGTAAGACACAGGTGGCACAGCGTCCCACCTGCAGAGCAGGTCTTCACTGTGTCTTTGCTGGCTGGTTTTGCATGCTAGCCTGCTCAGACGCTGGCGTGGGTGTGCTCCCGTGGTCATGGTCCTTCACCAGACTCCAGGTGCCCTGTGGAGCCAGGGCCACTGGGTGAGCTGCAAGCCCTCCCTTGCCAGTTTTGTCTTCTTGGTTTCGTGTTGTAAAGTCTAACGTTATCAGTCACTTGAATCAGGCACTCACCTGTGGGTGTTCATCCTCTGCCAATCACTCTTTTGGTATTTTCCCTCTTTTAGAATCTCTTCATTAGGAAGCCTTTAGAAATAAACACATCTCTGTCCAAGAAACTGTACCTAAATTCTCAGCTCACCAAGGGGCATTTTGTCATTCTGAATTTTGAATATTTAAGCTACTGTGAATTCCTCTCTGATTGCCAGAACTGTGGTCCTCTTTTCTAGCCCCCATTGCTCCCCTCTCTGCTGTGTCTGGCTTTGATAGTTGTGTGTGTGATCAGCATTCCTGATGGCCGGTCCCTGTGTTCTTGAACAATACAGTGGGCCTTGTTCTTGCTCCTTGGATGGCTGCCTCTGGGTGGGTTTCTGGGTGGAGGCTGCCCCCTACCCCCACATCCTGCTGTGCCCTCTGCTGCTGCACCTGGTCTCTGCTCTTGCTTTTTCATGGAGGCTCTCATTGTGTGCGTTAAAAGCTTGGAACTGAGTTCTGACCTCTGGTGAGAGGAAACTTCTGCCTCATTGCAGTGACTCACACTCTCTCCACATGCCTTTGGTCCCAGGTCACACACAGAGTCAATAAAGCAACCCACCTGATGTCTGTCCCAGGTGTGTTCACCTGGGATGGCTCTTCTAACTCTTCTTTGTCCTGGATTTTTCTAGGCGTTGGTGCTTCAAGTTCACCTACGTTTCCAGCCTGACAAACTTTGTCTCTTAACTGGATCTTTTAGTCCATTTACTGTTCATCCTGGTCTGTTGGTACGGTTGTAAGAAGAGACAGGGAGTAGATTTTTCATAAAGAATGGAAACCTTTTCAGGGTAGCCCCTAGGCCTGAGAGCCTTGCTCCCTCCCTGCACTCGCTTGGGAATCACTTTTGATGTGCGAGTGCTGTGGGCCATTGTCCCTGCCCTTACTAAATGTTTGCGTTTAGTTCTGTTGTGTGTTTGTTAAGCTTCCAGTCTCTAAGACTTGTCTTTTCTTCGCTCTTTTCTTTTATCCTTTTGAGGTTATTTTTGGCCTGCAGATTTGGAAATTGTGCATTTCTTTTTGTGGTTTCCTTGGGAGTTAGTCTTTTCTGTTCTGTGGTGGGTGCACCCAGCTCTTCACGCCTGCTGAGGTCTAGAGGCAGTTTGAGAGAAGCAGCTCTTCAGACCCTCAGCCAGGTCCCTCCGGTGTCCTGGCTGTGCCTGTGTGGTGCTGTTTTCCTTGTGCTTCTCGGTGCTGCCAACCACTGTTGTCCTCAAGGAGCCTTGGAATGAAACCAGAGAGCATATAGCTTGGCGTTCTCAAGCTGGTGAAAACCTCCAGGTCCACTTTCTGGACTTGCTGCCCTTCTCAACTTTCCCTAGTGAGAGATGCTGCTCCAGGCACCTCTCTGGCCCGCCTGTCTGACCCTCTGCCATTCCCTCTTTGTCCTCCTCAGCCCTGCATATACTCTGGGAGCTTGATTTCAAGACACTGAGGCAGCCTTCCCACAAGGAAAGAGCGGGTCTCCTTCATTTGTGGGTGGTGTAGGCAGATGGAGTGATTTATCCTTGGGGATAAAACCTGTGTCCATTGGGACAGAAAGATGGCACTCTTCGGGGAGTGCTTTTCCAAAAGTGGCCTGTCGTGGCCCTGGAGAGAGAGGTCTGTAGCTGTGGCCCTGCCTGGAGGTGAGGGGGCGTCGTTGGATTCTCTCAGCTCCAGGCTCTTGGTTTGTGATGAGGAATAATGCTGTGTGCTCAGCTGAGGCTGGTCAGAGGCTCTGTATAGCATCATGTAGAAGTAAAACTCTGAGCAAGTGTAATCTGAAGTGCCTCGTTGGACATGTTTTCATTCATTGTAGTTGCCCATGTGTTCTGACTGTGTGCCACTTGCTTTTCACAGAGCACAGACCCCAGAACCCTCCCAAGGGTGTGAAGCATGGTGACTCCCCCAGGTTACAGATGAAGAGACTGAGAATGGTGGGGTGACCGTGCCAGGCTTTGAGGGGCCGGTAGCCGTTGATGCTGGAGCTGATGTTACACGCTTTGGACTCACAGACTCCCCTGCCTGAAACAACCCCATACTCTCTACTTTCCACATTGCTGCTGTCACTGTGTTAAGTTGGAGCAATGGAGGGGGTCTCGTGGCCCCACAGAGCACAGCCACTTCAGACACAATGCAGAGAGCAGGGACGGAGGCTCTGCATTGCACGTTGGTTCTGTTCTCAGAGTTCTAGGCATTTCCAAGAAAAACTTGAGCCAGCTTGCTTCAGAGTGCAGAGGTGTCAGTTGCTGAGAGTGGTACTCGGTTTGTGACCCTCCTTTTCAGGAATTCAGAGGAGCTGCCGCTTTATGTTTTCTGGCTAGAGGAAAATCTGAACCAGGCTGGCTCTCTAGCATCTTGTCAGTCAAGAGGAGATGCTGGGTTTCCTGTGCACATTTTCCCTAACTCCAGTTGATCTTTCTGCGCATGTGCACGTCTCACACATGCACTTTGACATGTGCATGCTCATGTCCTGCTTTAAAAAGATGAATTTAAGCTGATTTTTATTTGGAAAGGATTTGCCAGACATGCAGTTTAAATGTACGGATCTTTAAAACAAAGTGTTGGAATTTACAATAAAATATGGTTCTTTTGTCTTTGGAGGAGCCTTAGTGTTTAAGCAAAGCATACTTAGATGTGGGAACATACACAAGTGTGTGATTTCTGTTGGTTTCACATCCTGAACTCAGACTCAGAGGGGAGGGAATTATCTTTTGGGAGTGTTTGATGGGCCTTCTTTTCTTCCACCTTTTCCCCCCTCTCTCAGCCTTTATGCAGTTGAGGGGTGGATCACTGCAGAGAGATACTTGCAGAGAACATAAGTTTGTTTGCTCTGCAATCATTTTCTCACGTTTTCACATGCAATTGTGTGTTGCCTTAGAATAGTTGGTGCGTAATGAGGACTATATTTGTGAGGCCCATAAATCAACATGAAATAATCAAGTTTGTTTTTTCTTAAGAATGTCAGTTCATACTTAGGGATTTATTTGCCTATTGCTCTGTATGAAGCTTCAAAGACATGGTAGAAAAGAAATAAGGAAAAAAACATTATTTTTAACCACATTATATGCTGGAAGAAGAAAGTGGGGTAGATCTCTGTGGTGTTATGAAGGCAGTACTGGGAGTTGCTGGCATCTTCTGTGCAGCCCTGCTGGGACCCCTGGTTTGCTCCTTGTTGGGCCATCTCTGCACACCTAGTCAAGGTGTGCGGATACCGCTAGCTCAGCCTGGACTAAACACTTTCTCTCCAAGGCCTCAGCACCTCCAGGGAATACCATGTTTCCCTATCCCCAGCCCATGGAAGAAATGGACTCACTCTTCAGAGAACAAGGATCTGCTTTACCAGAGGCCTGTGGGTTTCCTCTGGAACCCTTACCCAGGCAGTCAACTGCCACACCTTTTCCTCTTTTCTGGTTGTGACTTCCTGGCTTGTGGAAACTTTTCTGTCAGCACCTCCCTTGGGCCTTGATACCCAGGTACCGAGAGCTTGAAGGGCCCCAAGGAAAGGACCACATGGGAGGCAGGTGTGGAGCAGACCAGGGAAAGTCCAGATCCTGGTGTCTCTGTAGGCAGATCACCTATACCAGACTCTGCTGTATATTGGCCATTCTTTTCTGTATGTAATTTTGCACAAAGATAATGAATCCAACGACCTTATTTTGCTCTTCGTAGGTATATAATCACACAGATGGTGTGGTGAAGGGATCAAAGCCACATGTCCATGCCATTGCTCTGTGCTAAACATTGGCATCTAGGCGTTGAGCAGGCTGGAGAGAGGTGGGATGGGTGGTCCTTACTGTACTTTGGGATTTTTTTTATGCCATTATCCTCTATTTACAGCTCTCAGAAATCAGCTGGTGTGCTGCACATATGTTTGGAACTGTTGCCATGGCGATGAGCCTGCCAGCCCACACAGTCCTTCTGGAAGGCTGGGACGCTGCTTGCTGGCATCCGTTCACATGAGGGCACTGTCCTGACCTGGGGGAACCTGCATGTTGCCCTGCTCCACCTTAAATTGTCTGCTGTCTTTTGTTTGATTGTCTGATTATTTTACTTCGGAGTTTTAAAAGAACCCTTTGGTACATGTAGTGCAGAGAGATTCGCAAGCCTCATACTCTTCCTGTGACACAGCAAAATGCCAGTGCCTCAGCCAGTCTCCCTGTCTCTGTGTGTTAGACACAACTGTGGCCCTCAGATTGTGCTCTGGAATGGCCTCAAGTGGCTTCTTTTATGATAGGGCACATAACCAGCACCTTCATCCATGGTGGGTTATGAGTCAGGAACTTTTTCTGGGTACATGTTAATGAAGCCTGAATTCATTTATAGTATAAATGTGTTCCTTCTGTGCACTGGTAACTTTCTAATCTATTTGGAAGTTGAATGTAGAAAGCACAGTATTCGTTCTGTGCTTCACTGGCCTGTCGTTTAGCACCCAGCACTTTGCTACACACATTCAGGAAGAAGAGATGACATACTAAATAGCATTTGGGGATGTGGGCTCCCTGAAAACTGGGTACAAGCCATAAGTCCTCTGCCAAGGAGCACACATGCGCCTGTCACATTCTCTGGTTTCTGTCATTTTGCTATGGAGAGCTTCATATTAGCACTTGATTTTTCATTTAATTTTTATTTAAATGAAAGTTGTTAGCCACTGTTTTTGTAAGAACTTGATCTTGTTCCACAGGAGAGTGTGTGATGTGCAAAGTCCCCCTCCCCATGTTCAGACAGAGGCTCTTAATAACCTCATAGGATCAGGCTCCTAAGTTGCTGAGGGCCTCTCTGTTCGTACAAAGTTTCACAGGCTGACCTGTACCTTCCGATCCTGCCTCAGCCTCCCCAGTTGCTGAGATGACAGGTGTGTGCTTCCCATCAGCTGTAGTTTCATTTTAAACTTCACAGGTATAAAGATGTTGTAAACAGACATTCACATGGCCTTGTTTCTAGTAGCAAAAAGTTGGATAAAAATGAATGCCAGTTAAGAAGAGAATGGATGTTTTTCAGACAGTGAATGCCATACTACAGTTATAAAAAAGCACAACTGCATGTGTCAGCTTTCATAATCCTGAAGCATGGAGACTCACACAGTATTACCCTGCAGAAATACCACTTCTGGGAGTGATTAACTACAAAATTTGGAGTCACAATGCTTTGGGATAGGAGCAGGGCCAGGATAAGATCCATAGGGCCCTAAACTGCTCCGTGGGAGCCCTAGTGGCAGAGTGGAGAGTGGTATGGGCATTAGCAGTCCCTCAGATTACACAGTTGTGTGTGCATTTTAAAGAAAAAACCATTAGCTTTTGTACTGTTGTAAAATGACCTAGGTGGAAATCATACAGCAACACACCTATTTCCCCTGTTTCCCCACTGGCGAGTGGGGCCTCGAGGCTCAGCTGGTTATGTCTGCCTCCTGGGCAGTAGCCTCCAGAGCCTTTTCACTTCCTTATACCCAACTTGTAGGGCGTAGTAGAATTCACCTTCGCTGTGATAGTGAACTGCAAGGACCTTCTGACAGGTCCTGACTCTGTCTGCACCCGACTCTGGCCCTGGGCAACATCTGCTTTGTGTGACTCTGATTTCTTGCCTCTGGCATATGTGCCCGTCCAGATCACCAGGGATGAATGGTTGGTAAACATAGTGTCACATGAGCGCTCTGTCATTATGTGCCTTGGAGTTCTGCGTTCTCTCTGTGCACTACTGCTGAGCCACAGCCACAGCCCTAACATGCTCCAGTTTTTAAGAGGCGCATACATGTGGAGCCTTCTCTTATGGAGCTACTCTGACAGCCAGTCTAGTGGTCCCAGGGGGTCCCACTGAAACGCAGTGTGACTAAAGCTGAGGACAAGGGAGGTGATCCTCTCCTTTCTCTATTCTGTTTAGAAGTTGTGTTAGCTCCTAGTGCAAGCATAAGTACTTGGCCACACACCTGGAGGCTTAAACATCAGAAGTGTGGCCTCCCAGGTTTGCAGGCCAACAGTCTGGAAGTGAGTTGCAGGCAGGCTGAGGTTCTGCCAAGTCTCAGGTTGGAACCCTCCTGGCAGCCCCTGGCCTGTGGCTGCCCTAACCTCCTGCCACATCGCCTTCTGTTCCAGCTTCCCATCACTGCTGGATTTAGGTTCTGACCCCATAATCCATGATGGCCTTGTCTCCAGATCCTTAACTTAGTTAACGTTTGCCCAGACCATTTTCCCAAATAAGGTTACAACCACTGTTTGCAGTAGAAAATGTTCCAGTGAGCCCTCCCCAAACATTAGGTCTCTCTGTAGCACAGCATTGCCCGTTGTAGCTTAGCTTCGTGTAAACAGTTCTTGCACAGGGGGGAGCACTGCTGCCGTGGTCTGCATTCTCTAGGTTATTTGAGAGGGAGTCCTCTCCATGTGCTTTCTTTAGGGTTCATTCTGCTGGGGTGTGTCCATCGTGCTGTTGCTGAGTTGTCTTCTGCAGCATGGTGGACATTCAGGTTGTTTCCATCTTTTGGCTATTAAAAGTAAAGCGGCTTCTCCCTTCCACAGGGGACCAAGGCAGTGGGTAAATGTGTGTTGACTATACACAGGGTCCCTGGTGTGGAATGTGAGTTATGTGCATTCAGTGGGTGCCACATTTTACATGTTGAACTCTGGTGCTGTCCCAGGCTGATGGCATGGTGGGCCAGCTCGTCAGCGCAGAGAACAGTACAGTACACTGTAAAGCGTGAGGTGGGCAGATCGGGCATGTTGAGTATGTCCACCCAGGTGTTTTGAACTCATGGTGGCCTCGTGGAGACGCAGCACGTCATGGGTTAAGCGGTACTTTCTCAGGTGCTTGCTCGCTCTCAGGAGCGTTCACTTGCTGTGAAGGGTGCGCAGGCCTAGGGTCTGGAGATGGGCAGCTGGGGAGCCTGCAGCTGTGTCCCTGCATAGTTCATGGACATCCCTGATAAATGCTGATGGTGACTGTGACCACACATGGGTCTGAGCCCCTGTTTGGATATCAAGGTTTTGCTACTGCCTGGCTTGGTCCCCACAGTGATAGGCTGGGCGGGATCGGGGTTCTCAGGCAAGCTCTTCTGTTGGCACACCTCTAAGTGCTGGGCCCAGTTCCCCTGTTCACTTTACTTTGCACTCCACTACAAAACAAGGAAATGTGGGTTTTTATGTGGCCAGGCTTTTAGAAGATGTGTTTTTGCTCCTTGTATTCATGATACTGGAGTCACTGAGAAGGAAGAGCTGCCCTCGTTGTCTCCTCACTGTAGGACTTGGGGGAGGGATGCAGGGACAGGACCTGAGTGGGACGGCTAACTTGTCAGCTCTGTGTGTGCTGAGAAGTGAGCTTAAGCTCATGCTACGCCCAGCCTGGGAAGTACAAAGCACACCTGCAATGTTAGCGTCACCAGCTGTGCCCACCTCTGACCCTGCCCCCACGTGCTTTCACAGCGGCAAAGTCAGTTTTCTATCCTCCTCGAGCCACAAGGACAGTGAGTGCAGATGGGGTGTTGTGCTCAGCAACCCAGTTTGGGATGTGTGAGAGACTGTGGTGGTGCTGTGCAACCCTGTGTCTGGCCTGGTTCAGAGGCCAGCATCCGAGCAGATGGGCATGCTGTTTCCTCCTGGTCCCAGGCCAAGCGAGAGGAGGATCCTACAGACCAGAATGGTGGGGTGCCCAGCAGAAGGAGGTATGGGGATACTGTCACCAGCCAATCTCTGATGACATGTGGTTACTAAATTAGACTTGTTTCTAAGCATCTGTGTGGCAAACCTTGGAAGTCAGAAAGGGAAGTTATTGTTTTCCCTGCCTGATTCACTAAACTTGAGGAGAGGACAGGTTTTGCCCTTTTCCCCAATTGCTTTTGTGCTGTAAAAGAGCAGAACTGTGTGTAGTACAGAATCTCCACCACAGACAGACCTCTCCAAATGGATGTCAGCATTTGTCAGCACCCTGTAAACAGGTGGCAGGGAGTGGAGGGCTGGTAGGCATTGCATGCTAGAGGACTGCAGTGTGGACCTGGGGTAGATGCCCTGGGCACAGAGAGGGTGGATTTCGAGGAGTCCCACACACTTCAGTTGGGTGTGTGGCAGTGTCCTTGGAGCCAGCCAGAAGGTGGCAGCCATGGCAGTTGCACCTGTGGCTCCCAAGAGGGAGGGTGGCATGGTGGGCTGGTTTGTTGGGGGTCACCATGGTAGCAGCAGTGAGGGTAAACATGAGACGGTTGAGTTGTTCGTGCTCCACTGTGGCAGCCCACTATGGCAGTGAGCTTGGATGCGCAGGATTCTCCCGCTTAGCAGATGTGTGGTGTAGGGGTCAGAGCATACTTGGCCATCAGAAGACAGTGGGAGGGGATCAAACTCCTGCTTTATGTCCCACCTGCATGGCTGCCTGACTCGCTGAAGAGAGAGAGGCACACGTCTCCTGTACTGTCTGAAGCATGCTTGTGCAGAGCTGTGGAGTTACAGAGAAGGAAAACTGTGCCAGCCCTGGGAGACCCAGGCTGCATGCTATCTGCTCACATGGCCATGAGAGTCTGAGCCATGAGCCGAGTCTTCTCCTTTTTGAAATTTCATGGTGAGCTCTTCGCATAATATCTTTATCTGTTCATCTCTCTGTTTTGGTGTTTGAAACTGCGGTTGTTTTTTAACGGAGACAAATTTATTTACGTTTAAGGTGTTGTACTTGCACAGAACCCTTTTATCATCTCTGCCGTGGCTCATCCTGCCACTGGTAAGATGCCTCAAATAGATAGTTGCCAGGAGGGGACAGTTGTAGGAGGGACGATTCCTGCCCAGATCCATGCAAGGACAGCCTGAGCACTCGTGTCCTCCGTTGTGGCCCAGTGGTGGTGGGTGGTGCCTGGCAGGCCACATACCTTCCTGTGAGACACCTCTCAAGCTCTGTGTCTTTAAAGCTCTGGGTTATGCCTGCTGGCCATGTGCTCCTGCTTGTCACCTGTCCAGACAGGTGGCTGGAGTCCTGGGTTGTGATGTCTGCATGGTAGAGAGCTCCGTGACCAAGGAGCACATGATTAATAGTTAAAGCTTTTTCAGACCGATGGCAGGAATGTCTTAGGTCAAGTTTCTTGTAAGGTTGGTCTTTGCTTCTTAGTTTAGAAACCCTAATAAAAGACCTGTATAAGGGTGTCAGGGTGCCTCCAAGTATGTGTGTGATCTATTTGCAGGATACACATGCAAAGGCTAGTGTCCAACCAGCCAGCAGCCTGGGCCCCTCACTGTTGCAGTGAACTGACCATGCTCTGCAGACCTCTGAGTTCTGTGTGCCAGGGCTTGGGGAGGGTCAGTGCTGGCTCATGTACAGGTGAGTCTTGGACTTGCAGGTGTGGGTGTGAGAGAGCTCTGCAGGCCCAAAGGCTTCCTGCCAGTGCACACCGTGCATGGTTCTGCAGGGCAGTGCTGAGGTTGCACGCTCAGGCTGGGAGTATGTGGCCCTGCAGGTCCTCTCCTGCTGTGCTTCAGAGAGACCCCAGGGCGCAGAGTCCTCAGAGTGAGCAGTGCTGTGGCGGTGGTGACACTAGGGGCAGCATGAGGCTGTCCCCATCCATCCCTGTGTCTCTGACCCTGTGTATAGTGACAGGGTGGAGAGGAACAGATGGGGTGGACTCACGGCCTCTTCCAGCTGGAGCCTTCACAGGCTGCAAAACTTGGCCTGCTATTTGATTGGTGAGGTCGTCAGAGAGACTGGTTTTGGTCTTGATATTTGAAGTGTGATTGTGTGTAGGAAGTGGCACACATCTCAGGTGTGCTCAATGGTGCTTTTCCGACCTTTGCACCTATACCGTCACCCATCCATAGTGTGGAGCTTTCCCCAATCACTTCTACCTGAAGTCTGGCGTGCTGTAGCGATTGCTACTGGTGCATCCTGGGCCACTGCCATGGCTCATTCCTTCTCCTGCTGGTGGCCCTGGGGACTTTTTGCAGTTTGGGGCTGTTTTGCACAATTAGTGTGTATGTGGCCTTACCTTGGTGGGCCATGTCCTCTTGCAGTGAAGTGTGGGCAGAGCCTGTGCTGAACCCTACATGCCCAGGTCCAGCCTGGTCCACCTGGACAGCAGTCTTTTTATCACTTGTGCCATGGTGCCTTTGTGCACCCTATGGTTGGAAGAGGGCACAGAGCAGTAAAGGCAAGGCTGAGAACTGACCAGGACGCACTAGGGGCTGTCCACATCCTGTCTTCACCTAGGGAGAGTTCAGGATCGGCTACCTAGGTGCCAATTGTGGTCCTGATGGCAGTGTAAGGATCGTTTTGTTTTTGTCTTCTGTAGATGAGAAACTGGGATGTGTCTGGCTACACATCGAAGGCTCATAGCTAGGTAGGCCAGTGGTGTGAAGTGGTCTGCTTACATCTCTGTCCACAGCACATGTGCACACACGCGGGCAGCACATTCACAGAGCAGTGCTATTTTCTCACATGATGACATATCAGGGTGGTGATTTATGATGTTTTCTGATCTGTATATTTCACTTTAAAAAAAAAAAAAGCTACTTCATTCATAATTGCCAGAACTGCAGGTGACCAGGCTTTTCCCTCAGCAGTGGCAAGGCCGGGCAAAGGAATGTTATTTAGGGCTAAAAACTAATGAGGATAGTTGGGTGCAGTGGTGCACACCTGTCATCCCAACAGCTCTGAAGGCTGAGGCAGGAGAGTCGAAAGTTGCAGGCCAGTCGCAGCAGTTTAGTGAGACCTTGTCTCCCGCCGCCGCCGCCCCCCCCCCCCCCCAAATAAAAAGCTAGTAATGTAGCACAGTAGTAAAGTGCCCCTGGATTCCATCCCCTGTACTGCAAATAATAATAATAATAATAATAATAATAATAATAATAATAATAATATTAAGTAGCTTGTTTACAAAACCAGACAGAGGAACCTTAAATGCATGCTGCTAAGTGAAAGAAGCCAGTCAGAAAATTCCACCTGCTGTAGGATTACGACTCAAGACGTTCTGGAAATGGCAAAGCTGTGGAGACAGCAGGAAGATCCGAGGGCACCAGGGACCGCTAGGGCAGTGAAAACAGTCTGTGACAGCACGGTGGTGGATGCATGTCACTGCGTGTCTGTCCAAACTCAGAGTGAGCCCTGACGCAGTCTGTGGACCCTCGTTATCCTCCTGTGTCAGTGTGGGTTCATCAGCTGTAGTGGGAGGCCACAGGAGCCATGCAGCTCCTGTGTTCTGCACTGGGCAGGAAAACAGCAGTGCTCAAGTCCTCTTGGAATGTGACTGGCAGAGGAAGCAGCCGCAGCTTCTGTGCAGACCACTTTTTCTCCCAGGGAGAGAAGGAAGGGACAGTTGTGCCGTGGGAGCCAACTGGGAGACAAGCAGGACAAAGCCGGGGCACCCTGCTCACTGAGGCTTTGCCTCTAGACCAGGCTGTGCACCTGGCAGGCAGTGCCAGGCCTTGGTGCCTCTGTTCACTTTTCTAGCTCCTTTCTTTGGAGCCCCAGCAGTCCTGTGGTTCAGGTGCAGAGAGCCTTGCTGTTCCTCAGTCCCTGTAGACTCCTTCACGAGAACCATCTTCTCCTCCTTCTGCAGAAGATTGGAAATGGGAGTCGGTGAGCTCGGCAGGCCTGAGTGGGCACTTGGGTTGCCCTGGGTTACAAATGCTCTTCTCTCTCTCTCTCTCTCTCTCTCTCTCTCTCTCTCTCTCTGCTGCCCATTCACTCCTGACAGCAGGTATGTGCTGTCCTCAGGGACTTGGGTTCCACCAGATAGGCGCAGCCACTCCAGACCCCGAGCCAGGTGGGAGAGACAGATGGTGACACAGCCCACAGAGGCATCTTCAGTGTGATCCAGGGCAAAGGGGACAGTGCTGGCAGCTGTCCATGTCACTATCATGGAGGAAATTCAAACAGGTTTTGTTTTTGGTTTTGCAATATTGGGAATTGAACCCACGGGCCTTTTACCGTGGAGCTGCATTCGCAGCCCCCTTTTGTTTAAATTTCGAGACAGGGCCTCTCTGAGTTGCCCGGGTCAACCTTGACCTTGTGTCTCGTCCCTAGTGTCTCCCAGCACTGTGGCTGCAGTTGTGCCCTCACACCCAGCCAGGCGCAGAACCTGCCTGAGTTATGTTCCTAAGCAGGGCAGCGGTGGCCTTATGTCAGTGTCCATTCTGAGCAGCTCCAGCATCTCCCTGGTTGAGATGGTCCTGTTATCTCTGAGTGGTGTCCTGACAGTGTCCCTGAGTCCTGCTCACAGTGTTCAAAGATGGACTCATTCTTTGTTGACTGGTTCCTGCTGTTTTCGTTAAGTGCCTACGAAAGTCTCATCACTTGGAGTTAATGTTTATTTCTGTCTCACAGGTAGTAAGACTTTTCTCAGTGCTTTCAGACTCTTCTTATTTTACTCCTACCTGTTTCTTGTTTTTGAAACTCTTCAATAAAATACTCAGTAGACAGTGAATTACATTGAGCAGACCCAGTGACTCTCTCAGTAGACTCTGTCCCTGTGGGTCTGTCTTTATATTTTCTAAAGAACGTTTCTGGGTGATAATTGATTCTACAAGAGTAGTGTAGACCTCTGCTTCTTCACTGGAAGCAGATGGAAGCTCAGAGAGATGCACTGCCTCTGGGGGCCACACAGCTTGGGTGTCTAGAATCAGTGGGCTTTCTTATTTCAGTGCACTAGGAGTTCTTGCTCACCAAGCAGGATTTTCTTCCTGAAGCAGCCTCAGTCCCCATTCCGCCCAGGCGGCCTGGGGACTAAGTGCGGCCACTTGCAAATGCTGTTAGAAATACTGAGATGCAGAAGGGTGCACCCCCGAGGGATCCTGGGAACACCCCAAGGCAGCAGAGCCTGGGTTACCATCTATGTGATCAGCTGATTTTAAAATTGGGGCAGGCAAAGGGAGAGGCTAAAAGTAAAATGGCTACAATTGGATCTTACCAATGTAGGCTGAGTACTGTGTTTTGAAAGTGGACCACTGAACTATGTGTTTGTTACACACACTGCCTCCCAGCTTCAGCAGCCATTTCTCATGGACGAGTGGCTTGATTCAGTGTTGATGGACTGCTTGTGAAGTTAAGGCTCATTCTGCACATAGTTCTGGCACTTTGTCTGGGTGCTTAGTATCATTCAGAATGCGGTCCGCCCTTGGAGCAGGGAATAGCGGCCTGCTTGGCCTCTTTGCCTCCCACCCACCCTCCTACTGCACCATTTCACCTGGAGAAGACTGCTAACATGACACAGCTCACTAGAAAATAAGGCAGTCACGCAGCTGGAAGTTCCTTACCCTGCACCCTGCTGGTTGCCACAGAGCTCCACGTTCCTCAACCTCCAAGCAGAGTCCATGCACGGAGTCTTTTGTCTTTTTGGTCATTTTTAATCTTTAAACTCCTGCATTGTGTTTTTCTCTTGATTGTTCTCCATTTTTATTAAAGATTGGGTCCTTTGTTCTTTGAAATTGTTCGGTCCAGTAGATATACAATGTGAACTGTGTTTAATTTAAAATTTTCTTTTAGCCTCATTAAATAACAAAAAGAAACAAATGATACTGGATTGTGTTTCATTTAACCCAGCACATACGGAGTACTTGCTTTCAGTGTGTAATTAATATGAAAAT